CATTTTACTTTAAAAATTAAAGTCAGTGACCTAAAACTGCAATGGTATATTACGTTAAATATGAAGAAACTGAGAGTTTCGCTCACGCACATGTCGGTTTTGTGCAATGCTTATTGGGTCCCACAAAATTTTCATAAATATTGACCTAAATCACTATCACAAGAATTTGTTTCTTCTGAATTGGAATCGTAATTGCTGCTGCCAACCTGAATCATTAGTTCATCCACTAAATCTTCTAAAAATCTATCCTTACTCAAATAACAATTTAAAAATTTTTCCACATGATTGCAGTGAACTTGACATTCTGGAGTCATTCCATCTGTAGCTTGGTGCAGTAACATTTTTCAACTTGTCCAAGTTTAAATCAGTTAATTTGTTTTCCTTATCAGTTCCATCTTTAACTAATAACCAAACACATTCTGCTACATTTTACTATGATAAGGAGACAGCAGTGCAGTATGTTGCCCCTTTTCTTATCAATTTTATAGATGAATTTTTCTGGGTGATTCTATTCTCTCAAGGTGAAAAGTTCTGCGTTTGACATTTTTGTGGTGACTTCATATCCCCTGCTTTATCAACCAGTTCATTATTGTATGCTTTGTAGTATATTTGTAAGTATCAGAGCTTCAGCTCTCATGTCATATAGAGCATTCATTGCCCTGCTATGGTAATCCTTACTTTGAGCTGATACTTTATATACAAGCTGCACAGCTGGAAACAAGTTCTGCAAAAGAGCCAATATGCATACATAACAATAAGCTGCATTTCTTGAGTGCTAATATTCAGTTGTGTGCACACAACTGTATTATCTTTCCAACATGTCTTGAATGTTGTGTTGTTAACTAGTTCCAAGTTTTGATCATTGGGCCCAGGGCCGAATTTACATATGAGCTACACAAGTTATAGCTTAGGGCCCCCAAAAAATCTTAAATATAATATAAATAGTATTAAAATATATTATAACATACTTATAAAGACCCCCATACCTCAAATAGCTTAGGGCGTTATCTGGCTCTGATTGGGCTTTCTATGCCTTTCTCCAGGTGTGGTCCAAATTTTCTCTTCACCATTACTGACACTTCATTCCTATATTGAGAAACTGCAGTCTCTTGAGTTCTTTTCAAAGCTTGAATGAGAGGAACTACTGAAGAGTTTGCCAAAACTTCAGAAGAGTGAAATTCTGCAGCATTGTACATGATTTGGTGTACCTAGATTTTGATAGTAGATCTTTCTTAAAAATTTTCAAAAATTGATGATTATCAAAGTGTTACAAAAACAAGAATAAATAGAAATATCAAAAACAAGTATGGATAGGAAAGAAATGATAGCGAGAACAAAAATTAGGAAAATTAATATGAAGCTGTTAAAGAAGATCTGTGCAACTGGAATTAAGATAATTATACAGGGTTCGGCAAAATAAAAGGTACTATTTGGGATGTCAATAAAAACCAAACCACATAAAGCAAATTTTTTTTTTATTTCTTTTTGAAATCTACATTTTATGCCATTTAAGAACATTATTTTTTTTAATGATATCTTTTAAATGACAGCCATTATTGTCGATGCACTCTTGTAGGTTCTCACGGAAGCGCGTCATTACCCGATGGATCATTTCTTGGGGAATTGCAGCAATTTCTTGTCTTATGGCAGCCTTTAATTCTTCCAAAGTCAGCGGACAATGTGTAAAAACTCTCGACTTGAGGTAACCCCAAAGAAAAAAGTCACAAAGCGACAAATCAGGTGAACGCGGCAGCCAGCCGAGATAACCCCATAAATGCACCACTTTGTTTGGGAACATTTCTTGCAGAAGATTAAGTGAACAAGGCATGGTGTGCAATGAAGCACTATCCTGCTGGAACCAAAGATGTTCTCAGTGATTATCGTTCAACTTGTTAACTTTTGGACGTAGGAAATTGTTAAGCATATCAAAATATCGATCTCCATTGACTGTTACTGTTATTCCATCTTCTTCGAAAAAGTAAGGACCTCACACGCTGAACTCAGATATTGCACACCAGATGGTAACCTTTGGACTGCGAAGTGGTCGCTCATGAAGTTCCTCTGGTTTATTTGCTGATCAATAACGGAAATTTTGCTTATTTACGGTACTCGATAGGTAAAAGTGAGCTTCATCGCTAAACATGAATACAGCGCCTCAGGAAACGTTTTGAAGAATATCCCGGCATGAATTTGTACGGGTTTCAAAATCTCTTTCACTTAATTCTTGCACTACCATCATTTTGTACGGATGCATTTGGAGTGAGTTGTGTAAAATTTTTTGAAAACTTTTATTGAAAATTCCCAAAGCAGCTGTATGCTTATGAGCTGAACGCCTTGGAGACTGTTGTATGGAAACTCTTACTGCATTCACATTTTCCGGTGTTCTTACTGTCCTTGGTTGGCCAGTTGATTTTTGTTTAAGCGCAGAACCTGTTTCCCTGAAGTGTAAAGCCCACCGACGAATTGTTCTTCCATCCGGAACCGCGCTGTGCTGACCAACATCAAACTGATTACAAGGTACGCTGTGTCACTATTACAGATTTCCCATTTCTATTAAACTCCTCGACAATGAAAGTACAATGCACTCCGCTCCAAGCCATGTCGATAACTGACGATTGCATACTTTTGTCTACCTAACATGACCGTGTGCACAGTTTCGCAAACCGAACAACCACTATTTGAAATCCTGCCTACTTTTTTGCCGCACCCTGTATATAGAGAATATTTTATGGAGACTACCTTTGAAGTAATAATAATAATAATAATAATTGTAGTATTTTCTGAGGCAATGACTAAAATGTCTAATCTTATATCGAACTAAAATATTTTAATTTAGTACTTATTTATTTTAATTGAACAAATTAAAGAATTTCATTTCTAATACTTACCATAATAGCAAAACTTTTTTATAGAAAATAATAATAGTTTTTTAATCTAATCCCAAATTTTTTCACTATGGTGTAATTTATTGTGTAGAAATTTGATTTGGAATTTTTTATTCTGATTTTTCTAGTGGTAATTTTTTTAAAAGCTGTATCACATTCCTAAACTCATTTACTCTCTATATATGTCTGTGTGTATATATATCAAGTCATATATTGCTAAGTGTTTAACAAGTCAGTGATGACATGATTTTCAAGGCCTTCATTTCTGCGTTTTATGTTGTTGCAATCTGTCACATTTAATTTGAAATTGACAATTTAATGGATACATATGTATAATTTTTTATTTTGAACTTTGTATATTTAAGTGTTTCATAATGCTATAATAAATTTAGATTAAAATTTCTCCAAAACAGAAGAAAGGCCTTAAATTTAGAAATATAATTTAAAGATAATTAAATATGATGTTTATAGTCTATTTCAAAAGTAGTTGACAGAAAAATACAAGTGCAGTATTGTACGAGTCCAGATTTTTTTTAAGAAAAGGAAACATTAAGAGACTTAATTAAAAACTGTAATATAAACACATTCAGCAATATAAAGAAATAGAAGATTTAACTTTGGAGAAACTCGTGCATAAAATTGCTGGTTATGGGCATAAATTCTTCAAGAAGAAACCGTATGCTCAATTATTTCAACTGCCAAAGGATCATTAGGAAAATTTTATATTTAATATATAAAATTATTAGAAAAATTTTATATTTAATATTGCAGAAGCAATATTAAAAAATATGCAATAAATGTGAATTGTCTGTGAGAATGATATGATAACAGTAGTTGCTCTCATTAATGAAAGAAAATCTTTTATGCATTCATACTGTGTATCTTTGTTGTCAGTCATTATCCACTAAATCATTGACATTCAATGTGTCAGAAAGAGTAAAATCAGAAGGTAATAATGATGATGTTACAAATTACCTATGCCATAGTGTGCTGAGTGTACTTCAATAATCAGAGGCAGGTAAGGCACTAAGTGTGTAAGATGGGGAAGGTTTGAGATGATGCAATAATATATTCTTATTTTTTTATTATTGCTTATTCATTGTTAATAAATTTTATGCTATAGGAGGTAATAAATTTTATGCTATGCCACATTGAATCATTATATGCATATAATAATTATATGCAGCATAAAATTTATTACCTCCTATAGCATAAAATTTATTAACAATGAATAAGCAATAATAAAAAAATAAGAATATATTATTGCATCATATATATCAGAATATATTATATCCTCTTCAGTCAGGGGAAACTACTATTCATAATAAACGACTTGTTATATTTTCTTCTTATTAAGCCTTCATTATTTAAATGGGGCCAAGAGGTCTGTTGTTAATAGGTTATGCCAAACAGCACCCGCACTCAGAGCATTTTGCAAACTGCAATTAAACAATGGTCCCAATCACTTTTGCCCCACCAGTGGTTGAATGGTTGAACTCTAGGAGTTAGTTCCAGGTGAATGGGTTGACTGCATGGCTGATTTCTTTATAAAATCCTTCATGATAGCATATCTCTTCTTAGGTAGATAGTCATCATGTGCTTTGTCATATTTTAATAACCTAACTTAATCAGTTCTTCAAAATATATTTATAGTCTGCCTGTTTATGAGAACAGCTCTGAGTAAAGCTTCTGCTGTGGTGTAATACCTTAATAAGGGGGTGCTTGGCACCATTTATTAATGGGGGCCATAATAATAAGAATGTACCAACAGTTTACAATACCTGCCATGTTTAAAAATTTCCTGTATGTTTAAGAGTAAAGTGGTATGCAAATCACTGATAAGCAACAAGTGCTATTTTCAAAAACCGAATTACAAATTCCTTACTCCTGGATATTGTCTTTCAGATTCGTAAATAACTGAGCATTCCCAATTGCATTATATGATTAAAATGTTTTCAGCAACTTAACAACTCTTAAAAATGTAGCAAAATTATTAAAATTGCTATAAGCACTTATGTTCCACTTTAATTTTTAGTAATTCAGATACCTGAACTGTATGTAATTTATTTGTATATCTGTTATTGTTATTATTATTATTATTCTGTTATTTATTAGAATTTGGAAAAGGTGATGCAGAGAAAGGAAACACATGGGATAATGAAGATTCTGAAGTGGTATATAGTTGGTCATTTTTCCATTTCATGTTTGCTCTAGCATCACTTTATGTAATGATGACACTTACAAACTGGTACAAGTAAGTATAATAATTCTAATTAAAAATACCAGTCTTCATATATATTCACAACTTTTTTTCATAATTATAATGGCACAAAAATAGCATTATATTTGTAAATTTTATTATTCATAAAATACTATACCTAATATGCATAAATAAACTCTCTTAAGTTGCCAAACCATGTATACACAGAAGAGCCAAAACATTATGACCACCGAGTTAAATACTATGGCAGACTGTTTTTCAATTGGTAATTCCTATTAGTAGAAGAATACAGGTGTTGGAATTAGCACTAGTTCCATTTTTGGACCACATCTTGGACTCAGGAAACAAAGAAGAGGATCCAATATTGACTTCCCCCCCAAAAAAAAATTAGTGCAAGACTTCAAAACAGTGAAAACATTGTCAGTTGAAGAGTCCCGAAAAAGCAGTCGGACAAGATTCTTTATCACACCTGTTAGAAGACCAGAATTACCTTTCAAAGTGTTGAATATTGACATACTTGGACCTACTGAACCTCTCTGCTAGAAAACAAAAATACATCTTATGCTTGGTAGATCAACATTCCCAATGGCTAGAAGCAATCCTAATTAAAGCATTGTGCGACCTCTGACTTGCAAAACAGCTGCAATTTGCTTGTCATTGATGGGGCAAGCTCTTGGTAGATGGAGACAAGATTGTACCAAATGTCTAAGCAGCGGTCATGCAAAGTTGAAATATTCCAACATGGTGGTGTTTGAGCTCTGAGCTGCTGCTCCACGCCATTCCAAATGTGCTCTATTGGGTTGATATCTGGCAAGTTAGATGGCTAGGACATTAATTGGAATTCATCCATATGCTCCTTGAACCTCTCCAACACAATTCAAGGCTTGTGACATGGTGCATTGTTGTGCTCCAAGATTAAATTTTCAGTTGGGAAGAGAGATGCTATATAAGAGGTTAGCTGATCTGTAGTTATGTTCAGATAGTTCATAGCTTTCATGGTCTGTTCTACTACAACTAAGGGTGCCAGAGCCACCAATGGCAATGTCCCCAAAAGCATTATACCGCGACCACTAGCCTGTGTATGACCTGCTATGAGGGGGGGAGCAACTGTTCACCTGGAAGACGGCATACCCTGACACTACAATTGGTGTGATGAATGAGAAATCATGATTTATCCGACCAAGCAACTATCTTCCACTTACCTATTAAAATCTTGATGTTCTTGGGCTCACTGTAGGCTTAGTTGACAATGGCACTTGGTTAACAAAGACACAAGAGTGGAACGTCTGCTATGCAGTCCCATATCCAACAGTGCCCGCTGAACTGCGTGTTCCAAAACACTTGCACTTGGACGTGCACTGTATTAGCTGAGCTTCTGTCTGGTGCCACTTTTGCTGTGCCAAGAGAAACAGCAAAATTGGCACCAGACAGTAGCTTGCACAAACGCACCAAACAGTGGTGCTCTGGTCCAATGTTTATATATATATATGATGACGACGTGTGGATATCCAACATCTTGGCATCTACTGCTGTTTTTACTGTCATTTATACACTGTGCATTGCATAAATACTAACAGTGGCAGATTGTGAACAACCTATCAGTTATGCAGTTTCAGCGATACTCATTCCAAGTCTTCGGGCCATTTACAATCTGCCCTCTATCAAAATTCGCTTACATCAGCAGCTTTTCCCATCACTCGCAAAAGTAAGGGCAAGAATGGTTTCTTACCTCCTCCAAAACAGGTAAATACCATTCTTTATGAATGTATATATACATACACACACACATAGCTGCCGCTTAATAAACTTACTGGTTAATAAATTGGCCTCTGCTTCAGCTAAACGGGAGGCACCTTAGTCGTCCTGACGGCTGTCAATCGGCTGGTCACTAGTCCTTGTGTCAGTGGCTTGGGGATAAGCTCTCGAGAGTACCTGCTTTCGGGAAAGCCGACTGTGGGGCTTCAGTTTGCGTATAGGTCCGGCTAGCCCTAACACAGGAATCTGTGTTCCCTTGTTAGGCTCCGTGGTGGGCGGGGCCGTCGGACCCGAATTTTTTCTTTTTTCAATATGGCAAACTCACAAATATTTCTTATTAAAGACTTCGAAGTTAGTCAAGTCGGTCAAAGCACCAGCTCTGAAAAATCTGCTAAAAAAGTACGTACAGATACAAATGAAAAACATCCTAACAATAGTCCCCGTTTTCTGGTTATCTCTAGTCCTTCTGGCGAACTGCATAAGATGTCTCCTTTCGTAATAAATAAATACATCCAGTCTTGTATTGGTGAACCGAAAAATATAAAGCGTCTGCGCTCTGGAGACCTCCTTATTGATACCATTTCGGAAACTCAGTCTGCATCTTTACTTAAAATAACCAAACTTGGACAAGCGAATGTCACAGTAACAGCACATAAGACACTGAATTATTGTCGTGGCGTAATATCGGAATTCGACCTTCTGTATGCTTCTGAAGAAGAGATCGCTTCCGAGCTATCCTACCAAAATGTCTGCGGTGTTAGGCGGATCAAGATGCATAAAGAAGGTAAGTTGATTGATAGAAAACACGTGATCCTTACCTTCAACACGCCTGATCTGCCTAAGAATATTAAGGCCGGATATTTAAATTGTCCTGTAAGACCTTATATTCCAAACCCTATGCGATGCTTCCAATGCCAGCGTTTCGGCCATTCTAAGACGTCTTGTCGTGGCAGCCTCACATGCGCCCGATGCTCACAGATTGGCCACGATTCTGAAAATTGTACCGCTGCGCCTTTGTGTATAAATTGCAAGGGTGAGCACCCAGCATTTTCACGCCTGTGCCCAAAATGGAAATCAGAAAAAGAAGTGCAGACTGCAAAAGTTACTAGGAACATCTCATATGCCTGAAGCCAGAAGATTAGTCCAAAGCACACAGCTACGACCAAATACATTTTACGCCAATGCTCTTAAAAGATCTCATACAGTTGCCACCCAAACCTCAGTCGGTATGCAGACTCCACCAAGCAAACTCAACAGACTACAAACAACAGGAAGAAAGAAAACCTAACCCATACAGTACAAAATAAAGAAACAGTAATTCAAAGCAAACTCAAAACTACCACACAAAAAGTATCAAATAAAAATAGAAGTTCCAGCAATAGCTGTCTTGATGGAATGGTTTCTGAATCTGCGGATTCAGACAGTATGGAAGTAGAAGATGGTCTAGAAGTTCCCAGGCATCTACTTCCACGAAAAACAAAAGAACAGCAGAGAAAGAACAAAAACCATTCATAATGGCCACCCTCATCTCATGGAACTGTCACGGTTTCCACCGAAATTTGCTTGACATCAAAGCTATAATCAATGCTTATCATCCTGTGTGCTTAGCAATACAGGAAACAAATCTGAAACCAGAACAACATGCAAAACTTCGGAGGTTTTTTCTTTCGTCAGGAAAGATAACCTTGCAGGTGAGCGTGCCAGTGGAGGTGTAGGTCTCCTCACCTCACTGGATTATCCCTCAAATGTACTTTCTTTGACGACTTCCCTCCAAGTTGTCGCTACTCAAACAAATTTTTATATTGTTGTTTCATTTGTTTCCCTGTATTTGCCTCCAAATGAGCACATTGATCAGCAATATTTAAATGATCTTATAGAGCAGCTACCTGACCCTTTTATCATTATAGATTTTAACGGCCATAGTCCGCTCTGGGGTAGTAAAGATACAAATTGCCGAGGAAGACAAATTGAGCAGATGATCGAAGATTCAGGTGATCATCGCCTTTGTCTCCTGAATAATGGGCAGGATACGTACTTCCATGAGCCTTCGAGGACATTCCACGCTCTCGACCTTGCCATCTGTTCACCATCTCTGTTGCCATTTTGCACTTTTAGTGTCGGAAATGATCTTTTTACAACAGCGATCATTATCCCATTTTTGTGTCTCTTGCACGAAGAGGAGCAAACCCCATGTCGAGATCCCCTCGGATTCATACTCGATACAGGGCAGACTGGGAACTCTTCTCTTCCATTGCAGAGCTCACAGAGGAAATGGTAGAAGATGTGCATATCGATGATGCTGTTGAAGCTGTTACTAATACTATTATTAAGGCAGCTATGCTTTCCATTCCTAGAACATCAGGAAAAATACTAAAATATTCGAAACCGTGGTGGAATCGCGATTGCTCCATAGAAGAAAATGCGAATACTATTGGTGAGGCATTTGCTGCCGTTTCTTCCAGCAGAAATTACTCACCTGCATTTCTCTCTATCAAGCAGCACTCTGAAATATATCCCATCGCATTCAACTCTACCATATCTGAGCCTTAAAATAGAGACTTTACTATGCTTGAATTAAGGAGAGCTTTATTGCAGACACAAAGGTCTTCTCCGGGTTTTGATGGCGTGAATTACGAAATGCTAAAACATCTGTCCTATAAGTCACTGAATGCCCTTCTCACTCTTTACAATAGAGTGTGGAAGGAGCGTACTTTTCCCAGTGCATGGAGGAGAGCTGTTGTAATTCCTATTGCTAAGCCAGGGAAAGATCCAAGGAATCCCTCCAACTATCGGCCAATTGCCCTTACCAGTTGTGTATGCAAACTGTTTGAAAAGATGGTAAACAGCCGCCTAGTCTACTTCTTGGAAAAGAATAATATTATATCGCCTTATCAAAACGGTTTTCGAAATGGGAGAATGACCATAGATAATGTGCTCCTCTTAGAGACATCCATTCGAAAAGCTTTTGTAAGAAGGAGTCACCTTGTCTCGATATTTTTTGATATTGAGAAAGCCTATGATAAGGCATGGATATACGGTATACTTCAGGATCTTCACGAGAGTAGCTTGCGCGGCAACCTACCAATTTTCATTCAGAATTTCTTGAACACTAGAACTTTTCGAGTAAGGATTGGCTCTGTTTTATCAGATATTTTTGAACAGGAAGAGGGTGTGCCTCAAGGCTGTGTGCTTAGTGTAACCCTGTTTATTTTAAAAATAAACTCTGTACTAAAAGAACTTCCTCCCACCATCTTGGGATCTCTATATGTTGATGATCT